TCCTTATTCTTGTAGTATCCACTCATACTGCCATTTTTGTTTTGGGTTTATCCTGCTAGTCTTTCTTGGAAGATGTATCTTCTGTTGCTCTAGCTGTTCTAGGCTGGTCTGCTTGTCTTTTCTAGTGGGAATGTACCACCTCAGAAGGTTCTGGATGGGACTCAGGATTCTACCTAAGGTCCTATACACTGCCAAGGCGCCACAAGAGGCCTATTTCACTGGGCAAGTTGTAGAACCCCTTTTAGGTATTCCATTGAAAACCGTTTTCTTTTTAAATGTTCTTCGAGTTTGGGGAACAAAAAGAAGTCTGAAGGAGCAAGAGCGGGCTTTAGAATGGATGGGGCAAAGGTTGTCTAATGAAATTTTCATAGACCGGTGCATTGTTGTGATAAATGGGGGAATCCTCATTGCCACTTTCCTGGCATTTTTCTCATCAATCCAGTTTTCAATTTCCTTTAAAATTCTTCCTCATAAGTCCCTGTGATCCTCATAGTAGCATTACTCTTTTACTTAGCCACCCTCTTATATGTGGAAAGATACAGAAATAATGATAGACATAGGTTAGTATTTTTTAGAAAGTTTCTGTTGAGCCAGTACTGACTCAGGACAGCTACGTATGTGTCAGCATCTAACTGTGCTCCACAGGGTTTTCAATGCTGTGACCCTCCTCTGGATGGGTTCTAACCACCAGTCCTTCAGTTAGTAGTCAAGTGCTATAGTCAAATGTATAGTTTTGCATATATTTCCCAATTCACATAGAAGGACATTCTGTCATGATAAACAAGGGAAAAGTGAGAAACTTTCTTAGACCAGGAGAAAAAGGATTCTTGATGGCTACTTGCAGTATAATGCACTGGACCGTAGGGTTGGTGGTTCAAACTCACCAACCACTCCTTAGAAACCCTATACAGGGTTGCTATGAGTCAGTAACCAATTCAGCAGCACTTAACAACAACAATAGCAGTGAGGGTGGCGGCTGGACTGGACAGTGTTTTGGACACTTGTACATAGGGTAGCTGTGACTCAGTGACATCTAACAACAAATCCTTGCTTGGGTCTTGGTACAGAAAAATTTTATTAGTGGGAAAACCAGTGAAACCCAAATTAAGTCTAGAATTTAGTCGATAGTAGTATTAAGGTTAATCTCTTAGTTTTGATAAATGTACCATGTCGGTTGTTAACATTAGAGAAAGCTGAGTGAAGGATATAGAAACTTACGTAAATCTCACATTATTCTAAAATAAAGAATTGTTTACGTTTCTTTTCAACCCCCTAGCTGTCCAGTGTTTGTCCGTAGAGGCAATCAGTACAAGGAAACTTCAGAAAGTTCATGCAAAATGGAATTAAAAGGTCCTGGAATTTTTCCACAAAGTTTTGGAAACCCCCTCCTACTACTATTTCTTGTTATTATGTGTCATCCATAAACTTCCCACACATGGTGACCCTATAGAACAGAGTAGAACTGTCTCATAGGGTTTCACAGAAACCTATCTGAACATCACCAGGTGCTTTCCCCCATGGAGTCACTGAGTGGGTTTGAACCGTTGACCTTTTGGTTAGCAGCTGAGTGCTTCACCATTGTATTTACTAGGGTTCCTTTGTTTTATTTTTTTTCCAGAATATTAACTTTGCCCCTAGCAACCTTAACAAAATGTTTCATTGTTTGTAACCTTTTTTTAGTTTTTCAGATATATAATTATATCATTTACAAATTATATATTTACTTTCTTTTCCGTTTTTATACTTGAAGCAGCATATTTGAAGTGCTATAGTAATGTTGTATGAGGGGCTCTTGACAAGCACAATGATCCCGTGGTACAAAGTCTTAGGTAGACAGGAAACTTTTGTGATTTGAATCCAAACATGTTTCCTGCCCCATCCCCCACCCTTGTTTCTTATTTTTTTCTTTTGTCTCCTCTAGATGTGAAATCTGGCAGCTATACAGTGTTACAAGTGGTGGAAGCCCTGGGGTAAGCCTCTGCTTTGAATACTCTTCTTTTCCAGGGCATTCTGAAAAGGATACGTGCCTCCTAAGGAAATGTTGGGGAACACTGCGCATGTGGGTCATGTCAGCTCCTGTCTCAGTCCACAGGCCTTGGGTGAGGTGGGTGGTTGAAGACCACCAACTGTTACTTACTTAGAGTTGGGATTCTAGTCAGCCTGGATCTGACTCTCAGAAGCCGTTGACTCTGCACCGACCGTCACTAATGGAAAAAGCTTGAGAAGCTTGACAGATCAGTGTTGTGACCAGGTAGTCTAAGCACCAAAGGAGATACGTGTTTATAGTCTAATGCCTGCTTTTCTCTTATCTCACAATTGGTTGTTGTTGTTAGGTGCCATTGAGTCGGTACCGACCCATAGCGACCTTATGCACAGCAGAAAGAAACACTGGTCTGATCCTGGGCAACTTCACCACTGTTGCCACGCTTGAGTCCATCAATGCTGCCACTTGGCCAATCCATCTCGTTGGGGGTCTTCCTCGTTTTCTCTGACCCTCCACCTTAACCAAACATGATATCCTTCTCCAGTAAACTGGTCCCTCCTGACAATATATCC